GCACAAAATTGATATAAGTACTTATTCCTTTACCTACTCTTTACAAATATTTTGAAAGCAGTGCTCTGCACATGTTGATGTAAACATTTGTATTTCTATAGGTTTTCACACAGTTCGTCAATTTGAATAATTTGATTTGGTCACTTGCCAAATAGTCGCCTCTTAGGCGCTTAAGTTTTCGCTGTTCACATTTAATTAGGACGTGTAGGCCGTTGGGAAACACTACGGACAGATGTCCGACAAATACGAGTATATATAGTTTATAGTGAGTTGTTCGTGTTTTATTCTGGCCGAACTTGAAATGGAAAACATTTGGCGGCAAAGTAAATGTCAACGCAGGGGGTTCTATAATTAAAATCGAACATAAAAATGTATTTTCGTCGGCAACTTACGCGTGAAATTGGCTAATAAGTGGGCCCTAAAACGCCGCCTTCTTTGATTTCGGTTGTTTGCTGTTATTTGTTGCAGACCGTCGAAATTTATGTTCGAGATTTGCGCCCGTTTCGTTCCGATTCGCCCGACCAAATGAACCGTTAGCACGTTTTTGAACAAATTCAGCTTTTACAGGCTTTCAAAAAGTATATATATGTATCGAAATATTATAAGAACAGAATTTCTCGTGCTTTTAGGGCCTACGCTGTTGGGAATGCGATGATTTTCGTGATATTTTTTAATGGCAAGCGACGACACATTGAAATGCATTGAGCAAATGAACGTTGCTTAAATAGTTCGCCGGTCGAACTCAAACTCAAACTCAGTCGCTTCCAATCTCTCTCCCAATCTGTTTTGCTCATTCATTGAGTGGATTTTAGTTCCTTGAGCTCCAAAGTTCTCTCTGCAGAGCACTCAATGTCAACAGCGGATTTGGTCAAATCAAATAATAAAGTATATGAAGTACCTAAAAGCATTTACAAAATTTTTATTTTATTCTGATTTGAATATAAATTATATCTCAACAAATAAAATTCAAGGGTGCCACAGAAATCACAAGTGATTTAAAGTCGCCTATTAAACTGCATAAAAGTATGCAACAGTAAAAATAAAATCCTTATGTTATTTCTATTAAAACAGTGGCGGATATACCAACAGTAAATTAACATAAGTGCTCAGCGAATTAACAATTGAGTAAAAACGCGATAAATTAGAGAGGTTTTGGAGCCGAGGGAGAGAAAGATAACAATTTGGGGAGAGAGAGCGAGTGAAAACGGGGACTCTGTTGTAAACAAACCAATCCAACCCCTCGATTTCAGTTTCCACTCGCATTTTTGATACTTGTAACACTCGGCTGGGTGGACAACCCCAAAATCCGTGGGGCGGGCGCTCAGTGATTTCGGAGTGGAAATGCGGAGTGAAAGCGTGAGCGAGCTTTTCCGTTTGCGATAACAGCGGTCGCAAATGCGCTTGATAAGATAGTACATTTTTGTTTTAAGTTTAATCAAGGCGAACATAAGTATGTGTGTTTTTGAAAGAAACAAGGCGTCTACTCCGACCCGGCTTTAATCAGCTGCGTTACTGTTCTGTGGGTTTTGAAAAACGCTGGCTTGCAGTCTCAGTCACTTGGTTTAGTTAATGAGCCAACCGCCAGTCCAATGAACTGCGTGGGTTATTCAGTTTTCCTGTTTATTTCCATTTTCACCTGACTCAGCATTTGAACTTTAAAAAATGTATAACGTCTCTGTGCTGTTAATGATAACAGTGCACTTTTAAATTAGCCAGGGCTGCAAGCTGCTTTACGATGTGCCGCGCAAATAAAAGACCCCAGCTTTCTAGCCCTGTTATAAAAATGGAATCTTCTTTTTTAATGAAATGTGTACTATGTATTAGCGGTATTATCTATAAAGTTATTTGCTGTGGAAGATTTCTTTGATCTTTCTTTAAATTCTATAATTGTAACGTCTTTGCGCTGTTTAAAATAACAGTATAGTGCTGCAAAATACTTTAAGACTTGGCGCGAAAAGAAAAATACCAAAATCATTTAAACTTTATTTTTTCTTTATTACTGTTGATAATATAAATCTGAGGTTTTACCATCGAATTACTTTTCTAAGCCTTAAAAAAACTTAAAAAGTTAATTAACCAAATGGAGACATATATTTGGTATACAGCTGTATGTTTGGTACGCCAAGGCATGCCTTTACGTTTGACATTTGGTCACACTAAAAGTTACATATGTTTATTCATAAAAGGGTATAACTTTTATAAATAAAAGAATATTTGTGGCGAGTCGAGCCACAGGTTAAAGACCTGTAGAGTACAGATATATAGTAGCTATAGAGATCGGACTTGGCTGGGCAGGAAACAAGCGGGCAATATGAACGGAAGGTGAGGCATGCGGCACCGGCAAATGTATCTATGGAGTAAATACATATGTATATTTGAATCCCCCAGTAGCGTTGCGGAGCCTCCGGATTTCCAGGCGGCCACTGCAGCAGCGGCGGCAGCTGCTGCCAGGGCCAGCAGCTCGGAGCAGGACGAGTGGAGCGCCAGCGAGTGCGGATTTCTCGACCCGGAGGTGCAGCGCACCATGAGGAGCGGCAGTGCCGCCGAGGACATCACCCAGTACCCGATGCACGGCTGGGTGGACGTCACCCGGGAGTTCCACGACGCCTGCGCGGAGCTGCAGCCCGGTGAACTGGCCCAGGACATGCTCTTCGGCCTGTTCGAGGCCATGTCGGCCATAGAGATCATGGACCCCAAGATGGACGTGGGCATGGGCTTCGACAAGCAGGATCTGCCGCCGCCCTCCTTCGAGGCAGCCATTGCAGTGAGATTCCCATCTATAAAACACCATCGCATCTAAGTCTAATCCATGGATTCATTACAGACCGGCGCCATCAAACTGGACGATCTCACGCCCTCCGAACTGATCGGCATCTTTGATGCCCTGTTCTCCTGCCTGGTGTCCTGGCTGGAGGGCAACTCCATGGACCAGGTGCTCTTCACCTGCCTCTACCTGCACGCTCCGTCGCAGATCAAGGATAAAGCGCTGCGCGTCTTCTGCACGGCCGTCCGCAATCTCATTGTGGTCATCAAGAACATCATTGCCGTGGCCGCCGTCAACGAGGAGGAGGACTTCCAGTTGTACGGCAACTCGGCCCTGCTGGCCGCGGAGAAGGCCCAGCCAGCCGCCGTCTACAGTTCGCTCAAGGAGGTGGAGGACCAGCTGGTGCGCAAGTGCAAGAACCTCACGACGGCCACCGAGGACTGGATGGCCGTGGTGCACCGGCTGCGCTTCATGCGCCACCTCTTCCAGGTCATCTATCACGTGGAGCAGATGGCCAGCAACGACACCGTCGACGACAAGGTGGACATCTACAAAATCCTGCTCGTGGCCTCGGAAATGCTGCCGGGCATAAGGAACACCCTGGATCGTGGCACCCAACCCGAGAAGGGCTGTAAGTTTTGCTCCTCCATAACAAGCTTCTATAACTTTATCTAACAGTATTCCACCGAATTAACAGCTGAAGCACCCAATCCCATGGGCTTTTCGCCACGCATCCACGACCGCAGCCAACCGCCTGCCTTTCCGCGCAGCATCAAGATCAGGGATCGTCCGGCCAGCTATCAGTTCCTGGAGGAGATGATTTCGCGCTTCAAGTACGCCTGCAAAGTCTCCAAGCACAAGGATTACTATTCGGCGCTGGTAGGTCTTATCTGGCACAACAATAGAAAGCTTTTAATAAACGATTCCCTTTCGTAGAACTTTTTCATCGAGTACAGCAAGAAGTCGGGCCAGTGCATCCTGTCCAGAAGCGTGCTGCAGAGCCTGTTCAGCGCCAACATGCGCATGGCACACGGAAAGCTGCCCATGAAGCAATTCCTTCGCTACTCGGTGCAGGTCTTCAACTCGCCACCCGTGCTGAATGCCAAGCATCCGGTGGCCGCCGATCCCAAGGTGCAGCAGCACCTGGAGAACTTCTTCCGCTACTGCATCAACATGAACACCTTCACCCAGTTCATCCGCATCTGCGGCTTCAATCGCGCCCGTCAACGCGACAAGCTGGCGCGCCTAATTGAGAACTTCGACACCATCCAGGTGGATGCGGCGCGGCTGGACTCGCTGATGAACCAACTGGCCGCCGAGCGGGCCATGGAGGGCAACGAACCGTGGGCCACCGCCCTGAAGCACAGCACCCACTTCTCCACGTGGGTGCTGTACAATTGCTTCCGTGCCATGCTGATCTTCCTGATGTCGGGCTTCGAGCTGGAGCTGTATGCCGTGCACGAGTTCCTTTACATCTACTGGTATCCGTACGAGTTCCTCATCGGCTTCCTGGTCTCCGCCCTGACACGCACGGAGAACATCCTGCTGGCCCAGGAGGAGTACGCCGAGCACCAGAGCAAAATCCAGTCCAGCGCCGGCGGCGGCGGTGGTGGTGGTGGTGGAGCGGCCAAGAGCCGCAAGGCGGCCAAGCCAAAGAAGAACAAGAAGCAGCAGCGACCCTACCGCGCCGAGATCGTCTTCTACCACGCCCTGCTCAGCCTCTGCGGCGGCATGTACAAGGCCATGGGCGCCCTCACCAAAGACGGCCGCGTGCGCCTGCCGCTCTCCCAGTTCGACAACGAGGAGATCCGCTACAATCGTCGCTTCCTGCCCTTCGCCACGCTCACTAGTCCGCCGCCCGTCTCGTACGCGGAGTTCAAGAACATCCGGGAGCACACGATGCGATACAGCGTCGAGGATCTCTACACCCATGCGGCCAAGCACTTTGACCAGGCACGCAATGTCCTCGAAAGTATTCAGAATCCCGACCAGGAGGTGGCTTAACTAAGCACATGATGTAATGATTAGCTACTAAAGTGCCTTTCTTTCAGATGCTGGATCTGCTGCAAATAGCGCGGACCAACTTTGTGGTGATGAATGTGCTGGCCCGCGGCCACCAGAAGGAAGTGAAGCGCCAGCCCGAGTTTGACTTCTCCAAGCACAGCTACTTCCCCATCATCAAGCTGAAGTAGAGACGCTTGCGTGTTCGTGTGTTCCGTAATTGACAAGAATAAAATTGATGTGTATGCATTTTAATGTCAACTCTGCTCCACCTCCGCCACAATGTCCTGCTTGATGAGCACCTCCTCCGCGTAGCCCTCGATGGGACAGCTCTTGGCGCAGGTGTAGACCGCCAGAACGCCCCAGTCGAGGCTGTCGTCTTCGAGCAGCGTCAGCGTTTGCGGCATGATCTGGAACTCAAACTGGCGGGCTCCTCCGCAATGGCCGCAATTGGGCAGCTCCTTCAGCTGATCCTCCACCGTCTGGGCGGTGTTGGCGATCCACAGGGGCTGGCCACCGCGCTTGTAGCGCACAATCTGATCGGGCTCCGCTGCCGTTTGCTTTTTGAACTGACCGAAGGTCTTGTCGTCGGCGCTTGCCGTGTTTCCAAAGTATTTGTCCATCTCAGCCTCGGAGACGTTGCTCAGATCGCCCGTCTGTCCACTGGCCTCCAGTTCGTGGAACTCGGCCAAGCGAGTCTCATCGTCTTTGTCATCCTCACCAGATTCCATGGGATTGCTGTCCATGACAATCTCGAATTCCGGGAAAACGATTTGGCTTAGAGGTGTGGGAGTAGAGCCAACCGATGCTCCGCAGTGTGGCTTGTGCTGTGGCCAGTGCATCCGCTGGTGCTCCGCGGAGCAGTAGTGGATGGCCTTGCATTTGCTGCAGGCGTGTGGAGCGTGGCAACCGCAGGCGGCACACAGTTTCTTCAGGCAGGCGATGGCAGGCTGAAAAGCAGGGATTGAGGTTAGTTGAAGCTTTGACAATGTAACTGCTGTTCCTACCAAAGGATCTCCCACGTCGCTCGGCTCCTCCTCCGAAAAGAACTTGTTTTTCTGCGGCAACTGCGACCTCAGCACTGTGAAATTACTGAAAAAGAGGGTATAAATTAAGAGGGCCTAATCAATCACAAGAGCTGGACAGAATTACTCTGCACTCTGGGCCACCTGGCAGTCGGGATTCCTGCAGAGGAACACATAGATCGAGCGGTGAAAGTTAAACTCATCCTCGAAGGGAGCGTAGAGTTGGGCCAGGAAGGATTTGGGTGCCTGGCACTTGCTGCACTGCAGCTGCGATGTGGCCGGCAGATGCTCCAGTTCCAGCCAGGCGGGCTGCCCACCCAGCTTGCTGGGAAAGTATCGGTTACTCAGCCAAGCGGCGTCGTCGCTTTTTTCCGCGAATCCCAAATCAATTTCCATTTCTTATAAACTCGTGTTCGGTGTGACCGCATCTGAACCGCCATAAAAGGACACGTTAAATAAAAATATACTAAAATAAATATACCTACCTATGTTGGTATATTTAGTATTGGTACTAATTTACTTTTTAGTATCGTGGCGCACATCCAGTGATTTGTTCAAGTGTTATTTAAATTTTGATAAAAATATTTACTAATATTAAATTTGTATATGATAATAAAAAATATAATTGTTACAGTCGCACTAATCTTTAATCTTTTAAAAGCTTCACAATAAAAAATATATCATTCAATCATATTTTTATAAATGTATGTTATAAGGGAAAGTATCATGTATGTATTGGTATGGCATGGTATTTTTCGAAAACGTTTTTTGTCGCCATTTACTAGAAATTTATCCACAACCACCACAGAACACTTAATTATATATTTTCGTGCTTTAAATGTACAAAAATTTCTTGCCCGCAGTTTTGTTCAAAGTTCGAAATTCAAAATCGATTTTGTAGCGGCAATGTTGAATTGTTGTTTTCTTAACATTCCTATGTTATTGGACAGCGCTGCGGCAGAGTAGAGATGTGAAACCATCGATTTCGCCCCGCCAAACATCGATAAGTCCGATGTTTTGAAAACATCGATGAAATCGATGTTGACATCGATGTTTCTCCACCACTATCAAAAGTTCTCCGAGCTGATTTAACTGATTTAATTTCTGTTTTATTTACCATTGTGATAAACGCGTGTGAAAAAACAAAGACTTTCCAATTAACTGCGGGCACATCCGATGCCCGTGCGAAAGTGCGAGTAACGAAAAACGAGCGGAAAAACGAGTTTTGATTTGATTTTGTATTTGATTGTGAAAGCGCAGCAAGATTTGTCAACGCAAACAAGCAAGAAGCAGAGCTCACGGAATAGCGTAATATTTGTTAGTAATAATAGCATCAAAAACAACAACATCGCGGAAGCAGAATCCGACTTATCTCGCTGCCCGTTTCCGTCGGAGGGCTAAAAATAAAACCACCCACGCTCCCCCGCCCACAAGCCACCAAATCGCCAACCCCAACACCCCGCCCACAAGCCACCCACACCCACGCACAAATTTGGAGAGGTGAACTTGTGTTGACTTTTCCAGCACGCGGACTTTTCCGGAGGAAAATGCAAAAATGAGAGTTCGAGCAACCAGCAGACAACTGGGAATTTGCGTAAGTTTAAAGCGGATACTTCCTGGTTTTGGATTACAGGGTATCAGTGCGTTGCTTTGTGAGTGAGTGAGCCAAAAAGGTTCACTACATAAACCACTTTGCTCGGTTATTCTATAAAGAAGTGAGCAAATAAACAATTAAGCAAGTGAACAAAGTTACAAGTGAACCAGTGAACAACAAGGCTAATTTAAAGAAAGCACAGAAAGAAAGATTTCATTTAAATTTAAAAGAAAATTATATATAACATATGTATATATTATGTATATACAAGTATATAAATAAAATAACAATAAATGGATAAAAAATGAAGACTATTAAACATGATAATATTAAAAGTATAGGAAGGAAGGCTAAGCAGCCTGTTTTTCTTACTAATTTTAGGCCATCAGACCATTCTACTTCAACAAGTGTAGAATTCCTCTCGATTCAACATTTTATAGACCTTTTTAAATACACCTTCTGGGGGGATACGTTTCTGGTTCATTATACCATGTGATGGGTATTTTCACTTCGAAACCCCAAATTAAAATTTTTGCTTGCCTTCTGCCTGCCAAAGAGCCGGGTGAGCTTTTATTTGCTAAATTTAGTGCCGCCTTGCTGAAAATAAGAATGGGAGCACCCTGCCATCGGTTGCCGGTAGGCAGACACATACATATGTATATAGTATAATCGCCCATAATGGCCAGTATATATAGCGTATCGCTGGCCAGGGCAGATGACTCGGCCAGCTGAAACTGTTGCATGGATGGTTTATCCTGTCCTCTTGGCCAATCGATACTTTCAGAGCAGAGCAAAGCAAAGCAGAGCTGAGCAGAGCAGAGCCTCAGTGCAAACTTTGGACTCCTGCCTAAATCAATAAACGCCTCAAATCCCTGCCATATTGCCATATTGCGTCCATTGTAATGTCAGCACACATTCTCGGCCCAATCCAAAGGCATTTACACTCGGCTGCAGGCATTTATGAGTCCACTCTGCGGAATCGTCTGACAGGAGCGGCAATAAATATTGAAAATTCAATTACCCGTCATCCAGCCAGTCGAAAAACCCATCAAATTATTATAACGTGAGTGCGAACATGTTTGTGCATCGCTCTCAGTTACTTAATGTAAATAAATAAACACATCTTCTGACCACATTTTTACTCTGTTCAGTTTTGTTGGCCAGAGTCGTATTACTTTACCTTGCATGCAGGCTATTGATTTTAATTCGCCTTGTAATCATCTTCCTTCATTTGGTCACTTAAATTAAGTTTTCCCCATGAAAGCGAGTACTTTCTTTGGCCCCGCTTTTCCTTTTCCCCCTGCTTTTTCTAAAGGAACAAATTGCTTGAGAATGTTAAATGAAATGCATTTCCTGGGGCTGCTTATCAAATGCATGTATGCTCAATTTATTCGGAGTAGGTTTGAATTTTTAGGGGAACAACGCTACATCATTGTTCTGTCTTTTAGGAAGTTCAAGCGTTACCATTTAAATAGACATCCATAAATATTGCAAGAGTACATATGTACGTGTTCTTTATTTTATTTGAAACTAGCTTTGCGTTTTAGTTTCTAGCAAAATATAAATATAAGCCTTTGATTGTTCTGACTTTAAAGGTATTCTAAAGATATCCTAGTGTTCTTTCAACTTTACGAATTTTAGCCTTAGCTACTTTTCAGACTCTTGTCAGTTAATCAATCGTTTAAATTAAATCAAGAACATTGCATTTACATAAGTGAAATTAAATTATAAAGCAGTAACAGTTTCGGCCTTTAATACAAATCTTAGCTTATACAGACGATAACATAACCGGAAAGTCAACTTTTGTGTGCGATTTAGATTAATATAAGAGCAACTTGTTTTCTTTTGTATATTTTATTAAGAACTAACTCTTATCTCACAACACTTTTGCTGAATTCGCATTCTGTTCCCCTTTCTCGCCCATTCACACCCTGATTTATTCGATTCTCTTTGCTTCCTTTTCGCTATTTACTCAGTTGCAATTACACTTGTTTTTTTCACGCTCGCTTTTCGTCTCATTCGCATTCTGATTGGAGCGCCAACCGCCAAGTGAGTCACTGCCCAAGGTTATTCAACGTAGCTCTCTTTTCCCCAAGTTGCCCAAGTTCTCCATTTCTCCCCACTGACTGTAAACATACAAGTATATCGCAAGCTAAAGGCCAACGCACGATCTTTGGCTCACACGATAGCCGATATCAAGTGGCTTGGCTCTCTTTGCTAAAGTTTTAAATGCGGAGCGATAAAGCCCAATCGATGTCATTGTGAGGCTTCTGGCGTTGCAATTCTGCATTTGTGGGCTTTCTTTGGGGCTACAGAGAGTAGGTAATACTTTATTCTAAGGGCAATCAAAAGTTAACCGTATTCACATCCCAGATAAGCTGCTAATTAAGGCTAAACATGTAGTATTTGGTGCGAGTTTAAATATCTATCATACAATTAACACATATGTATATGTAATTTTAAGCTAGCAGAAGCTATAGCTTTCTTTCCTCATTAGAGTTTAGCCAGTATTTATTTTTGATAATTACGACAAATGGTAGATCAGGGCCTATTTTGACTTTATCAATCCTTGGCTTTTGAAGCACTTGTGACTAAATGATAAAATACAATCTTAAAGGTACATTTCGTAGATCTATGCACATACACATTTTTATTTAAAAATAGTGAAATTATCAAAACTGTCAATTAGAAGCGATTAGCGTCGACATTTCATCACATTTTGTCTTAATTCGAACTGCCATAATTCGAATTCTGTAAATCGAATTAAAATTTCATATAAAATGTTCGTAAACTTTTTTTGTATGTATGCATGTATGTATATAAAAAAGCTTGTTGCATTTTATAAATTGTTTTGCTAAAAAGTGGGATTTTTTTTTTAAGATTTACCACGAATTCTTGTGAATTTGTCTGTTCCAAGAATTCATCCCAAATGTTATTCTACAGTGAGCAAAAGAAGTTTAGGTACACTTTGCGTTGAAATTTTATACAAAATGTTCGTAACCTTTTTTGCCCACTGTATGTCAAGTGTTTCAGAAAGAGAAGTTTAAATGTATAAATGTATTGTGAAAAAAAATATGTATCTTGAAGATTAGATAAGCTTTAAGGCGATATAAAATATTGTACACCATGGCTTGTATATTGTCAAATGAATTTAAGAAGTTTACATATTTTAAAATTGCCCTACATATATTTTTTATTTTTTCTAAAATATTTGACTTAATAAAAATACAGTATAATGCCAAAAGCTTTTAGCTTTTAGATACATACATATGTACTTATTCATTGGTTATTTAAACCCTGCATAAAATTATAATTTTTCAAAAGGAAATTTAAATTAAGCTTTTCTTTTGGCAATGAATATTAAAAAAGAGCAGTTAATATAAGTAGCTCGGTGTATTATTCATATATGTAACTTGAAAAGAAATCCCCGAATGAGTCAGCTTCGCACCGCTATGGAACAATTTGTTGCATATTATTGTTCTTAGTAAAGTAAACTTAATCACAGGTGAACGTTCCGGTGGGCTTATTGTTGTCAACTGTTTCTGTTACTGGTTAGACTCTATTCTGGCTGGAAGGAAATTGATAAGCACTTCGGGAGTGCCACTATCGATGACGGGCCCATTGTTTGCTCATATCTGGCCAGCTATTATTGTTACTCCACTCGAATAGTTGCTAGCGAAGCACAGTTATTTATTTAGCTATTTATTTATTTGGTGCAAGTTTCGATTGCTGCGTGCGTCATGCTGGCGGGGCAAAAAGGAGATGTGGCTCTGGTGATTCATGCCAGACAAGTGCATCCTCATGCTCATGCTCATGCTCATGCTCTTGGTAGAAAATCAATACGGATAGCAAGGGCTCAAGGCTCAAGGCTGAAGGCTGAAGGCTGAAGGCTCTCGAGATGTTTGCCGTAGTGGTGTAACCTTGCTGTTTTGTTTTCGCAGAAGCCGGAGGCGCCTTGAATGAGAGTCCTTAGCCCGACATGTCAGATTTCGTGCCGCGCGACCTCCTCCCCGAACTGTGGGCGGAGATACTCCGGTGCCACTGGAATTTCCTCGAAACGGAGGAGAGCATACAGAAGCTCGAGGAGCGCAAGAAGCTAGAGGGTAAGTGTGCCCTCCAATCTGTTGTCTGGGCAGAGCTAATCACTCCCGATTCGCAGGCTGCCTGAAGGAATTCCTCTGCGTGGTGCAGCACGATCGCAAGTTCTTCCTGCCGGAGACAGGGCATGTCCTGCGGCGATCCGTGCGCGATCTGCCCGACTTTTCGGCCCAGAACGCCATCGTGGCCTTCGAGAAGATCAGCCAGTATGCCAACAACCTGTTCACGAAACCCTGGCGCAAGGAATATCGCACACTCAAGGTGGCTACCGCCGAATCGAAATGATCTACGTGCCTGACTTACTCAGAAAACTATCTTTTTGCAGACCTATTCGGGTTGCTTCCAGCACGACATCCAATCCCGCCTGCTGGACGCCGAGCAGCTCTTCCTGGCCATGGGCTATCGCAGGCTCTCCGAGGACACCTTTGTCCTGGAGGGGCCCATCTGTCCCGATCAGGTGACGAATGTTTCGCGCGACGCCATGGCCGCCTATGTGGAGTGCCAGATCATGAAGCACATCTATGCCGGGGTGACGGCAGCGGGCTACAGCTGCAGTTGGAAGGATATACTGCAGTATCGCGAGCGCCTCGTCGCCGGCACCACGCGCACCATCAAGGAGATGGTCAGCCACCTGAGTGAGAAGCGGATGCGCAAGGAGCAGCCGCCGGTGCAGGAGAACACGTACAGCAATGTGGCGCCATCCGGCTGTGTCCTGCATGGCTCCAGCCTTGCCCACCATCCCGGCAGCTCCGGCAGTTGTGCCCTGCATCCGAATGGCCTGAACGAGGTGGCCAAGTATATGCCGCCGTATCCGGCGCCACCGCTGCAGCAGCCGTCGCCGCATCTTCCCGGTCCGCTGATGACGCACTCGCGCAGCTTGGAGCACTACCAGGAGCCGCATGCCCATCTGCCGCACCGCCACTCATTCGACCAGCAGCTTCAGTTCCAGCAGCAGCAGCAGTGTCAACTGCCCCACCTCTACGAGGCGCCGTACGACTGCCTGGATGGCCTGAGTCTGGGTAGCAGTGCCTCCTACGCGGCCGTTGCGGGGGCCTACAATGCGCCGGGAAATCGCTATCCGCTGCCGTACAATATCTCCAGCCAGCTGAATGCACCGTATGCCTCGCCACCAGCCGACGTCTACGGCGGTGGGGAGCAGTCCCATATGTACGCCACGCTGGGGAAGACGGGACCAGCGCACAGTTGCGACTACCACCGGCGGCAGCCGAGCAGTTCGGCAGCTGCCGCCGCTTTGGCGGCCATGCAGCATCGCCAGAGCACGTATCCGCCGGACCACCATCTCATCGACTTTGACGAACGGGCGCAACTCACCCAACACGACTTCGGCACGCACGACTACGAGCCGCAGTACGCCAGTCTGCGCGGGCATCCGGCCGCCATGTATGCCACCTACGGAGGCTACGATCTGCCCACCACGTTGCCCACCACGTTGCCGCCGCCGTCGACGGCCCAGGACATGTACATCTACGCGCGTCCGGTGCCCAAGAGCAGCCGCATGCGGGCGTTGGCCGAGGCGGGTGGCATCAATCCGACTGACAAGCATCCGCGATCGGCGGACAAACAGGTGGGTTTCATATTGGGTTGCTTATTATTAGTTGCATTTGTTATTAAAACCAACCCCTGTTTCGAACAGAACACCATGGACAATAATCGCAAGATGCACAAGGAATTGAAGGAGCGGGCTAGTCGAACGGCTCCGGCGAAGAGGTGCGGCAACGAACGTGATATACCCACCACCATTTCCGACATCAACAGCTACGACTCGGCCAGCCTGGATGGCTTTGTGACCCTGGACAGCGCCTCGCCGCCCCTGATGATGCCCAAGGTGCAGGAGGGCGTGGGCAGCTTTGAGTCCTGGAACTATGTGTTCAAGAACCTCGAACGCACCGGCTACACCAAGGACTTGGGCGATCGCGAGGACCTGCTCGTGCAGAGCCTTGACCTGGACTCGCTGGCCATAACGAATGGGGCCGCAGTGGCTGCTCCGCCGGAAAAGCGACGCGAGGCGGCGAAACCAACGAACGGCGAGAAGGCACGCACGCTGGAGAAGAAGACGGGAACGACGACGCGACGCGAGGCCAAGACGGTGCTGGCTCCGGCGCCTAGTCCGCTGCCCAACAGCAGCAGTGCCGGCGTGAAGAAGGTCAAGTCCGCACTGAAGACGGCCGTGGTGGACGGCCATCGGGGAACTGGATCGCGGCAGCGGTCGGGAGCTGTGCCCAAGCAACCGCCGGCCGTGTCGCCGCAACTGATTGTGACCAGCCCGAACGAGTGGAGCTGCAGCTTCTGCACGTTCCTCAATCCGGACACCAAGCGCATCTGCGAGATGTGCTGCCGCAGCAAGGACTTCAATCTGGAGGCCGCTACGGCGGCATCCTCATCGGCGGCGGCGGCGGCAGCTGCAGCGGCTGCAGCGGCGGCGGCGTCCAGCGTGTCGCATGCATCCTCGACCTGCGTTTAGGAGGATCTCGATCGCGATCTCGATCTCGATCCCGATCCGATCCGATCCGATCCGATCCTCGCCCCGTTAGTGATACAAAACAGTGTATAGCTTGATATATATATTTTTATACAACCAATTGTGTAAGCCTGTGCGCGTGTCTCCAAGATCTAGTCTCTAGTCTCGTGGTCGTCGTACGATGGCAGGCAACCCTTTGTTATCCGAATGCATGTATGCAACATAGATCAAAGCGGATCCTGCTGCAGATGAGGGATATGTCTGCAGCCTGTACATACGAAGTATTCTATTTAGTTACCCCTACATGTAAACACACGCTTTAATTAGTTTTAGATTGTTTCCCCATTGTTAAGGGCGCTTCTGTTTCAAATTACGTGCCTCCCTGTGTAAGTCATCTACATATATATACATACATATATATATATATATATATACAACACATATAGACATTTATATATATTTGTACGTGTGCATGCGTCGCGCGAAAAGCGAGAGCGAGAGAAAGAGAGAGAGAGAGAGAGAGAGTGAAATTTGAACTTGGAAATTTTCTAGGAAATCAACTGATAATTATATACCTTATACTAATAGTTGCATTCACAATACGTATTTCCGACAGCAAATCAGCATCAGCAGATCAGCAGAGTACATAGAAGTTCTTGGCGAATCCAAGCGTATATACCGAAACTTGCATAGATAATACACCTATAGCCGTAACATAAGCGATTTCAATTCGAAAAAAGATGAACCGAGCTAAGCATAAAGCAAAACGCAAAACAAAACATAAATAAATCGAACAGAACTGGTACGGGTTGTAAACTTAAAATTTTTGATTCAAATTTTACCAGAAAGGAGTCAGTCGCAGGACTCACTCAGTGGATGACCACTGTGCATGGACAGCAGAAGAGTAAACCACAATTTGTAAAGCGAACTTGTCATACCAAACCACCCACCCACCCAAGCTACTTGTGCACTGTGTCCCAAAGCTAATTTATTTGTTAAAATGTTACTATTGATTACCTGTTGAATAGCATCCCGGTAGCATCGAAAAGCACTCGAGATATTTTTATAAAGAAGCGAAACCACGTACCTACTGATCTATGTTAAATAGTTTATTACACATAATTATTTTCGTACCTATGTTAGCGTTTTGACTCCCACATGCTTATCTGCATATGTATATGCCATTCTGGAAAGCAAAACGAAAAAGGAAAAGATCTTAACCGAAAAATAATCGAAATTAAACTTCATTAAAGCCATTTAGGCGCAACCTTCGCTCAAACCTTTTTACTACATAACTTTGCATACTATTACCGAATGAATTTAGTGGCAGCTCTTCCTAAAAAAACCTTTAACGACAAAAAAAAAAACAATAAATACAATTTTGACAAATCTAAGACTTGTTTAAATGGGGGACTTTCATTTCACAAACCAATCTTCATTTACTTTTACCAAGTTCCATGTTTATTAAAAGTTGTATTTAAAAAAAAATTTTGATTTTGGGAAAAAAATATTAATTTTTAGAATAATATTTGATTTTGCTAACCAATTTTTATTTAATTTTAGCTAGGACCGTGTTTATTAAAAGTTTTATTTTAAATTCAGAAGATAACGATTAATTTGTGATATTTTTATAATTAAAAAAAATTGTTTTTTATTCTTTTAGAAAAAAAAATTATGTTAATTTTCTTTTTTTTTTGTTAAAACAAAATTTTATTTGAATCCTTGTGGTTGTTGTGTTTAAAAAAAAAAATATAATGCATAGTCCAAATAGGATCAACCTGGCGTTTCTCTTTTTGATTGATTTTTGATTAAAAATAAATAATCATTCATTTCAAAACCTGATTTTTGCTACACGTCTAACCCAAACCCAACACTGTTCTAATTGGTAGTAACAATGACTTTGACCTTGGTGTTACCAGTGGTGTTACTACTACCATTGATTTTCGGCTATAACTACTGCAACAACGACACCCATATATGCGACCTGTCCAAAACGAAGCACTTCATGTGCCTACTAGAGACGGATCTTCCTCCATACGGCAAGAACACCACGTTCCACGCCCTGGTTCCGGACACCAAAAAGCTGCAGGTGAATGCACTGGGCATCCTGAACACCTTCCGGAACTTGTTCGCCAGCGGGCAACTCATCACGAATCGCAACAAGACATTTCCCACCGCCAGGCGGATGCGCAGGCTCATCTGGGACGCGGAGCTGGCCTACATGGCCCGCAGCCATGCCGCCACCGTGTCCTTGAAGCACTCCGAGTGCCGGTCCACCGTGCGATTTTCGCGGGTCGGTGAGTGCGTGGCCATGTTGCCACCTATCGACCGGAAGTTGGATGTGTTCGACATGATGACCGCCTTTTTCAATGAGATGTTCGACGAGTACAAGGAGGTTCAGGATCCGGAGACCCTCCTCCATGGCTACGATCCCGTCAAGTGAGCTAGAATCAATTCGTAAGCCGATCTTGAAATAATCCAGAGGTGATTCCACAGGGACTCTCCCGTGGGACACTTCACGATCATCATCAACGATCGGGTTTCCCGGGTGGGCTGTGGCATTGCCGTGGGCTCCAACTGCCATGCAATGAATAAAGTCGGGTGGGTTTGCTGATTTGCTGATTTGCTGATCTCTTGACTGCAACTGCTCACCTGAATCCTGCGTTCCTTGCAGCTTCTGTCACTTCCTGACCTGCCACTTCGACGGCACCAACGTGGATAATCAGTATGTCTACAGGGCTGGCAAGCCAGCAAGCTCCTGCGCTGACTGGAAGGTCACGTCCAGCTCTTGGTATGCCTTTCTGTGCTCAAACAACGGCGAAATATTTCCCTATGTAAGTGGATACCATCCTCTGAACAGCTTCAGCCCATCTGCTTTTTCTTTTCAGGAATAAAGTTCAACAATTCGCTCTTATCTATTTTGTATTTTTAAAGTTCACTTATTTTAACATCAGTTTAATCTAGTTATTCATAAAGTGACACTTCCACATCCAACACTTAATAAATTCCTAGTAAAGATGATCTGGAGTCTAGTGATACCAGTGATATTGCTGTTGCCACTGGCTTCCGGCTACAACTATTGCAACAACAAGACCCATAGATGCATCCTGCAGAACAGAGAGCACTTCATGTGCCGACTTGACAAGTTTCGTCCTCTTGATGAAACCACCAGGTTTCACGCCATCCTTCCGGACCTTCCGCACCTCCAAGATAAAGTACTGAGAATACTGAACCGGCTCCGGAACTCATTCGCAGGCGGGGAGCTAGTCACGTTCAACAAAAAGACGTTCGCGAAAGCCAAGCGGATGCGCAAAATGATCTGGGACAAGGAACTGGCCCATATGGCTCGCACCCATGCGTCCACCGTGTCATACCAGCACTCCGAGTGCCGGTCCACCCACCGATTCGCCCACGTGGGCGAGTGCCTGGCCATGATGACCGTAAGCCAGAAGCCCAAGATCAACGATATGTTCGAAAAGATGTTTCAAATGATGTTTGAAGAGTACTTGCAGGTCGAGGACCCGGATGGCCTGCTCAAAGGCTTTGACCCCCTCAGGTGAGCTGGCTAATGTTAAAGCTCCGAGCTTGAAGTAACCCCAGGATGATCCTGCAGGGACTACCAATGGGGTCATTTCACTACCATCATCAGCGATCGAGTCTCGCGCGTGGGATGTGGCCTAGCCGTGGGTTCCAACTGCCACAAAGGGTCAGTCTACAAGTGAGTTGGGTGTAGAGTGATTCGGTGATTCTATAGTTCGTATAACTTCGTATAATCAGTCACTACTCGTCGAAATGTTTTTACGTACGTCTCTAAGTAAGAATTATTCCAACAACAACCAAGGGTTAGACCGCTAGTGAGTTTGGTGTAGAGTGATTGGGTGATTCTATAGTTCGTATGATTTGAATCAATGTATATCTCTAGTATAAGCCTACTAACGTTTCATGATGATCTGGTAACTGATCCTTTAAGCCTACTTCTCCTTTAGCTTCTGCCACTTTCTGACCTGCCACTTCGACTTCAATAACTTGAATGGATCGTATATCTATAAGGCTGGAGAACCAGTCAGTGGCTGTGAAGACTGGAACACTACGGGCAGCAATAAGTATGCCAATCTGTGCAGAAACAAAGGCGGCATTTACGCCCCGGTTAGTATGATTTATTAGCCCTCCTTGACCCCATCTCCCTTACCTAAATACTTCACAGGATCAAGGCGACACTTGATACGGATTTTTACCTCTACATAGTGTACTATAAAATCATAACGATTGTAAACGTATCATAAGTGCACATGCTTTTAAGTCAGAACTGATCCAAATGTCTAGTTTTCCAGTCATATTACCTTTTTCATCCCACACATTTTAAATTCCAAGTAAAGATGATCTGGAGTGTGGTAGTACCAGCGTTAATGCTATTGCCACTGGCTTTTGGTTACAACTACTGCAACAACAAGACCCATACATGCCTCCTGGAGAACAAGGAGCACTTCATGTGCCAACTGGACAAGTTTCCCGTGTACGGCGAGCAGACCAAGTTTCACACCACCCTTCCGAACAATCGAAAATTCCAAAAGATAATATTAAACACCCTTAATAACTTCCGGAACTTGCTGGCAGGCGGGAATCTGAAGACGAGTGCCAATAAGTCGTTCCCGCAGGCCAAAAGGATGCGCAGGCTCATGTGGGACACGGAACTGGCCTACATGGCCCGCACCCATGCCGCCACGATGTCCTTCAAGCAGTCGGAGTGCCGGTCCACCCTGAGATTTCCCCACGTGGGCGAGTGCCTCGCAGTGGTGGCCCCGGAAGAGAAGCTCAATATCGAGGAGCTATGTGCGCGGGCGTTCAATGCAATGTTCGAGGAACACAGGAATGTCACTGATCCGGAGGCACTCCTCAAAGGCTTCGACTCCGTCAGGTAGGTGGTGGGTTTGATTTGTTCCATCGATGTCGTGCTGAGGTCAACTACCACAGGGACTACTACGTGGGTCACTTCACCACCATCATCAGCGATCGAGCCTCACGCGTGGGCTGTGGCATTGTCGTGGCTTCCAACTGCCCCCAGATGTCGTCCAGCAAGTGGGTAATGTTATAGTGTGGAGCTCAGATCCTTGATCCTCCGCTGTCCCTCCAGATTCTGCCACTTCCTGACCTGCCACTTCGACTTCAACAACGTGGAGGGCTCTTACGTCTACAAGGCTGGGGAACCGGGCTCCGCCTGCGACGACTGGAGCTCCTTTGCCAGCGATAGATATGCCTATCTGTGCAAGCACAATGGCTTCATTTATCCCCCAGTAAGCTAAATGTGAAACCCCGTTTACAACTTATCTTAACCCACTTATTCCGCAGGATCATGGCGATAACACAGATTGAAAGACCTTGTGTGAGGTGTTTAATAATATTCGTACATTTATATATTTTCGTATGCTCTTGCCTAGGGGTTTCGAAGCACAGGAGACCAACTTTGAATACCTTCCAGAGCCCAAAATACAATCCTTACACTTCCTACGATCCATTTCGAATTTATTTCTATGCTGATGCGAGATTTGGGCTCTCCTCTTACACTGCTATTGGGAAAATGTAATTGATTTACTCTTATTTTGTGGTTCGATTTCGCATTCTACAAGTAATTTTTCTAATTCCCTCTAACAGCTAACAGACTTAGTCGGTTTTTGCTTGCTCATCGTTCAATCGTTCGTTTCTTTGTGTTTCCCTGCTTAACTGACATTTTCAAAGATAGAATCAAGTGGATTTGTCGAGTGAAACCAGCTTCATCTTCGCAAATTATCTTTAGCATACACATAAAGCAACGATTCTAAATCAGGACCATATTAACCCTCAGACTAAGTTTTGCATATTCGTTTGTTCGAGTAAATAATTAAGGTTCGTATCGTCATTTCGATGAAGTTAACTTTCGCATTTGCAGAGTGCCTAGGCATTTTGTTTTCCGATTTGGGTCTAAAAACGGGCACAATAGTGCCGATTTGTTTATTCTATGCTTTTTTCTTCTGATGTGGATATAATTATCATTGACTAGCAGTGTCATCTATTTTCAAGTACTTTCGCCTAGAACTCGGCCAAAATGTTTTGAAAACGCTTTTGAGTTCTGTTCTGGAGAGTAGGGCACTGGAATGCCACTCATCTAGCTCCTGACCTCTTCTGTACACTTAGAAAAATACATATAAACATTGCGGGGGGGGACGAAGCAGCAAAGGGAAATACTTAAGAAGAAGTCGAAATGACAAGCACAAAAGGTTGGGATATATAAACCTCCAAAAATGCACGGCTAGAAAAAGAACACACTTCAAGGATATTTAGATGTTCGTTTGCAAGGTGGGTAGAATTACCTATCAATTAATTTTGTAACCTCATAATTCCCCTCCCGTTCTAATTGTCCATACCGATGCTCCTAAGTCCTACGGCTAACACCAAATATATATATATATATATATCCCCCACTTTTAAAGCCCTTAAAGCGGCTGGCCAATTGGCAATCCACAAATGTTCCACCCGATTTCCCTATAATAACGTATATCAGTGCAGCATTACCTTAAAATAATGTGCAAACATTCAGTGCTAATTGCGTGAAATGACGTCATTTCCCAACACGTACAATACGGATAAATAATTATAGTTGTTCAGCAAATCCTTGGGGGATGTGTCCATCGGAACGGATGGACCCCTACAATATGTTGCATCCCGAGCCGTGCATCACCTCGCTGATAAACATGGGCGTGCCAGCGCCCAGTCCGCCATCCGTCTTCTGATGCTCGTTCTGGAGGGGATTAGCAAGGGTTTTAAGTGGAGAATATAGCTTTCCCTCTAAGGAAACTCACATCATCGTAGTCGCAGTCGAAGTAGTGACTCTGACAGTCCATGCAGCGACAACTCTCCGACATTTTGCAGGTGATGCCCCACTGTTTGGCCAGGTCCTTGTAGATCTCCTTGCTCGTCTTGTTGCTCATCATCTCCGGCGTGAGCAGACTGGTGTGGCAATTGGGCGACTGACCCTGCTCCTGCTGCTGCTGCTGCTTCTGCTGCCTCCGACCACTGCGTCCGCTGCGAAATGCAGTCGATCCGGAGGCGGAGCCGGTGCAGCAAGCCTCCTGGCACAACTGCCCGTTGCCGAAACCATTTCCCGAACTCCCATTGCCACCTGTAAAAGGGGGGATTCAAATAGATTAAAGGAAACTATTAAGTATGAAAAATTAACGAGTATTAAATAAATACCACGATAGTATCAAATTAAAACTTATATGTTTTACATAAAAGGACTTAGACTTTAAATGAAAACCTATTGTGAATAAATACTTATACATAATACTGAATATTATTTTTAAGCCAAACTTGTTAAAAATAAAATTTTTTTTTGTGTAATTGAGAGTTACTTAGATATCAGAAACAGCTTAATTTAAATAACCATTTCACAAAACTCTTTTAGTTAAAACCAAAAATACAGGTACGCACGTATTTAATTCTATATTTTTTGGAAAATTGGGGTTGTACACTAGGGTGGTCCAAAAAACAAAAGGAACTATTTTGGTTTTTAAAAAGTCTATTCTCGAACCAAACAAATTTATAAAAATTACTCATTCGACACGTAGGCCATGTTGAATTTTGAGTAATAAAATCTCTCCTATTTCTAACATTGTCAACTTTTTGAGCTCACTTTAAAAGAAGTCGATGTATAGACAACCAACTCTACGCCACCTGGATGAAAATTAATTTTTGATTAAAAGCAACAGGGCGTATGAGTAATAAATTTAATAGTCAATCCGCAGACCCCAAAATACATTTTTTCAACAAATTTTCTTGTGACCATCGTTAAACTCTTTGAAAAGGAAATGCTACATTGTTAATTTTGCACTCATATATGAACAGTCTGAATTTAGTCTGAATAAAATAGGAAATCATTATTTCGACCTTAATATGAAATCATCATCGAAACCCACCTGATCAACCGAAGGTCAAGGACATATATTAATAATAATATATAATAAATCATATAATAAATAAAGATATGGCCACTGAGTTGTACACTTAAACATTAAATGGTTTAAAGCCTTACCTTCGCTGTAGTTGGCATAGCTGCTGCGATTCAGGAGAGGATCGTAGAAGTTGTGGCCACCTCCGGACGAGGCCGCCGCCTGGCTGCTGGTGCTGGCCGCATCCCCGTCGAAGGTTGTCACATGGCCGCCACCCTCGCCGCACGCCCGCTCCTCGCTGCACTGGGCACACTGGTCGTCCTGGCACTGGCCACCCTGCTCCTCGTCCTCCCCGGCCCCCGCATACCGCTCCTCCGGACGGCGGGACGGTGAGGCCGCCATCTCCGTCTCCAGCAGGAATTCGTTGATGCTCAGCTGCTCCTCGTCGTCGCTCCGCAGCTCCAGTTCGGTGACGCCCTCGAAGATCTGCTCCCCGTCGTTGTTGTTGATGCTCTGGTTGTTCTGGCTGCTCTGGTTGTTATGGTTACTCTGGTTGTGGTTGCTGTGGCTGGCGGAGCCGTTGTTGTTCAGGTTCTGTCTGCAGTCCGGGTCATTGCAGATGGCGCCGCCATTCCCGGCCAGCTGCTCCAAGGCGGCACTCAGCTGGACGGCACTGTGCCGCGAGCTGTTCGCCGAGCTGCGCCGGCTGTTCTGGTTGGGAGTGGCGCTGTCCAGGGACAACTGTCGCTGGTGCTGGGACAGCCGAGTGTTCTGGATGGGGAGATCACAAAAGCCAAAAGACCATGACATTAAAATATAACATTCTTCTCAGACGTGCTCGATTTTGTCTAAAGCCCTTCTGCCCAAATGGAGTGCCCTATTGGTCAAAAAGTACCCAAAGCCAACAGTTCTAATTGCATAACTTTTCTCTCCGAAATCCGATTTCGAAAAGGCATACCTCTATAGGTTTGTGGCTAAGGTTTCTAAGAATCTGTGTTTAAATTGTGGTTTTAAAATTAATGTCGTTTTTCTTGGCGATTTAACAAAATTGTAATTACTATGCGGAAAAGTGACCTATGTAAGTCCAGCACTTCCAACCATCACAAAACAAAAATAATAAAATTTAATACAAGAAAAAAAAAGTCTCAATGATTATTTATTTTAAGTTCACAAAAAAAAAAAAAGCAAAGTAAACAAAAAAGGATAAGACGATGGAGTGCAAAATTGTATCGCTTCTTGCTGAAGAGGAACTTATTATAATATATATCTGCTACAGCAGTTAAAAAAACATACATTTTTTCAGTCTTACTACCCCAAATTACTCCAATCCATAACGATTAAAGTTGCAACTGCAGCTGCTCCAGAAACTCACCTCTTCTAGCACATGCTCGTAGGAAGGCGGTGGGGTGGTGGGCACGGTGTCCGCATCCGGATCCGTCAATGACTCGTTGATGCACGGAGTTCGGCTCTGGTTAAGGTAGCCTGCAAGAATCGCCAGGTTTAGCAACAAAGGGTGCAACGAGTATCATAGATTTAATGTTTAGCTCTGACTTTATTTAGGAAATTTCAAAGAGGAGGTTAGTGCAATAGTGGATAAAGGATTCGTGCATGGAATAGAATTTATTGGAACAAATTAAGTATCTGTAACTACTTTGTTACCCAGTCATGTGAGTGCTCAGGCATGCAATTTGCTACACAGAAAAAAAACATGATACATAGGGCTGCCATAGAAATCTGTTATATTTTTATCTATGAATATACCTATTTTCGCTTATAGTCTTAGAGATTTATTTAAAAAAGGAATGCTTTTTAACTTGTTTTTGTATTTTATCCCCCAGAAAATTGTAGTTTGAATGTAGAATGTTGGTCACAGAGATGTTGTGATATATTTTTTTTATTTTAGATGCTTTACAATCATAAAATCAATTATAATTTATTGAAAATTAAAAATGGATTTTAAAACTACAAGTGATAAATTAACTCTGTTGTCCATAAACTTTTTAAAGATCCTGGAACATCCTTTTTTGAGAGGAGCTGTTGAAGCTCTTTTCTAAATATATATTTTTTTCAATACTTAGTCTTAAAATACAGTTAAAATATAACATAATAAGTGTACAAAGTATTAGATAATTAAATTAAATATTTTTCTTAGGAAACTTCTAACTGTAATAAAAACTCTTAAAAAAATGTATTAAATAAATCTATCAAAGTCCTCCAGAGTTCGAATTTTCTTCTACCAATTTTTTCTACTGCTTATATATTCATGTTCATTATTGTTTTTGTGACATTCCAATATTGCAGACCCATTTTTTTCTGTGTGTAGAATAGATTAAAATCTAAAAATATTCGGTAGGCCAATTCTGATATGTTCATGTACATGTTTTTATGGTGATATCCCCATACTTTTCTCTGTATATAGGAGATGCTACAGTGTCGTCCTTACCCAATCGCATGCTGTTGGTGGTGGGCGGCAGGAGCAACTTGCGCTCACTGCTCAGCTGGCCGAGACTGCTGGAGTCCGCCAGATCGAGGCTGGAGCTGCTGCTGGCCTCCACCGCCTCCTGGAGTGGCTGCGGATGTGGA